AGTGCTATTGAGCTAAAGGAAAAACATCACCAGCTACCAGCTGCACACGTTGCTTCCACACAGACTGGGACCATTCACATTAGGGCAAAAAAATGGCCGATTGCGCCACCTCCAGGAGGGCTACTGAAAAACGCCTGACCCTCATTGGTGCTCGTCTCTAGCTCACTGGCGCCATTTCTCCAGTGCTGGACAAAACTTCACGCGGACGCGATTGAGTATTAACAGTATCACCAGCGTAGTAGGCTGTGCAAGTTTAACAGGCCTTCTGGGTTCTCATGCAAATTGATTTGTTCATATCTTTTAAGTCTTTTACTCAGAACTACTAGTTGTTTTAATGGTTTACATGCAAACATCCATTTGCTTACATGACAAAAAATTTTAGAACTATTGCCAACAGTAATGCACAGCATTCAGTAACCAGTGTGAGGAATAGATTTTAAAAGTGTTCTCACAGGAAGCACAAACTGATTTGAAGATACTGAATCTGTATCTTGAGATTTATATGCATTGAACTAATGTACACTTAGGGTTAAAGAAAAGTTTCAAGATAAACTCCATGCCTTATGAAACCTGTGGAAGTTTTACTTTTTTATATATATACATGTTTTCATGTTTTATTTTTATTGCTGTACTTATACTTTGTACTGATATCAAAGGGACTTTGGAATGGTGAAAGTAAGGAAGGCTGTGTGTGCGTGTAGCTTATTGTAGTGTTTCACTGGTGTTACTGTATAATCAAATGGACCAGTCATCAGGTCCCTTAAACTTGACTGATCTCTAATACTTGATGGCAGTTCCTTGCATCACTGGCTTAATAAGAAGAATCATAAATAAAAAAAAACTATAACTATTTTACATGAAACCACACATTTAAGAATTTGCACTATGTCTTTTAGTGTCCCTGGCCTCATGTGCTTTAGTCTTCTGACATTTTAGTTTGTGCGTATGCACACATAGGTCTGTGGGGCCAACCTGAGTCTATTGACATTATTAACAGCCTGCAAATACATTTATACAGTTTATACAGCTGCTAATTCTCCATTTTGCTCTGTTTAGGGGTACTGCCAACTGGATTAGTTATTAATTCACATTAAACCATAGTACCCTTTATATGACTGTTCTGGCGGACCAGATATACAAGTTTTTGTTTTGTTTTTCTTTGGAGGGGACAAATCTGTTAATTACAATGCTTAACTGATTGCCAATACATAGATTTAATTAAATGTACTGAATAGGTTATACATTCTCATGCATTTTTTATTCTTGATCCTTACTATATAATGTTTGAGTTGAGTTCATTCACACAAGTTGTTCAAGCCAATATATAAGCCATTATACTGTGCAAAAGTCAGACACCACCCTTCATTTATTCAGTTTTAAAGTCCAACCAGCCATTAAGTACAAGTAGTTCATTTTTCAGGAGATATTTCTAAGTAGATTAAATACAAAATAATCCACTTGCATAAGAAATAGGAAAGAAAGACAAGTAAAAATAGGAGTTTCCAAAACTGGAGTTAAACTGCTATTAAAAGAAACAGAGAAAATGGGACACCTGACAACAGTGCAAGACCACCAAAACTCCCCATCAGATAAAGGGCTCCACTCTTACTTAAAGCTTTCATCTTTGAGAGAGAGGAGAAAATCAAGCTGTTTAAGATCTGAAAAAATCCGCAGGTGTTTCTGTCCATCCTTCCACTGTGAGTAGACAACTCAGTGCTGTGGGTCTAAACGGATGTGTAGCTGTCAAGAAGCCCTTACTGAGAAAAGAAAATAGCCAAAAAAGAAACTTGAACACAGAAGCTGCTGGTGTTCTCAGAACACTGAACTGACCACCCCAGAGTCCAGACCTCAACATCACTGAATGTGTTTGGGATGGTTTGTGTTGTGAGAAGCAGAAAATGCAAATTTCTTTGCAGAACTGAAAGCAAGTCTCCTGAAAATGAAATACTGAAAAGCCTGATGTCCTATTTCATTGCTGGGCTTTTCGTTTGACTGACTGAAAGTTCAATAAATGAAAGGTGGTCTCTGACTTTTGCGTAGTGCTGTACGCAGCAGAACAATGTCACAAACAATAAGTAATCCACTGTGTGAAATCGTGGTTATTCTTTGCTAAGGTTTGGGTTTTAGGCAGCTTTGTTCTTCCCTCATCCTTCCTCATCAGCAGCAGCAGCAGCGTCACAGAGTTGGAGCTCAGATGTTGCATAACCGTTTCTCCACCAGAGGTCAGCATCTCTTCTCATCCAGCAGGGAAATAAATCCTTGTCTACCGCTATTTGTCGGTTTTTTTTTTTTTTAGTCTGTGAAACGCACTGATGTCAACTGACAAAAGCTGTCTTCGTCTTTGTGTCATTTGGATTCTACAGGAAGCGGTAAGTTTCATGTAACACTGTCCTACTTTACCCTCAGGCCCGGTCTGCGATTCATCTCAGATTTCTTTGTGTTATGGTTATTTATGAAGAGAAGGTGTCCCATGGGATAAAGCAGGGATAGTTATAGAGTTGGAAAAGCGGGCCAAGAGGAGGAGGTACAGTCACTTTGGAGGAATTCTAGCTAGACTGATGCAGCCAAGACGTAAGTTATACCAAAGCAGGTTTAACACTTGAACTAGCTTCTCTTCCAAAACTAATGTTATGAAAGGTTAAAGCCCTAAGAATTCACTAAGAACAGCAAGTCGCTGTTTGAACACCAGAGGTTTTTTCACACCAACTCCCTCTAAAACATTATATATATATATGCGCCATCTCATTTGATACTAAATGAGATATTATATTCAGTTTTTTCTGGTTGCCTGTGGAAAAAAGATTTACCCTCATCTGTACATTCTTAAAACCAACTATAACAATTGTCCTTTGAAGGTGGGTGAGACAGACCATAAACATGCTCACAGAACTTAATATGTGGCTGTCATTACCCAAAATAAGCTTATTTCAGATTTGTCAGGTGTATCTGATTTACTGCATTGAACATCTGCTGTAGGTGCCGTTATTAGAGATTCTTCTACTTCTGGTCTACAGAAGAGATGCAGAAATGTAGTTGCACTTCTGAAATTATTGAGAAATAACTTTTCAAGTATCTTTTTTCCTTGGCATCAACAGCGCTTATTCAACACATTAAAATTATTTATTTTATTCATGATAATATCAGGAATCTTGATGCCATCTATCTTGACCAAAGAACAGCAGAAGTTCATTATGTACAAAAGGTTTCTTCCTTTCCCTCATGAGAAAGACTAACTGCTCAGGTACTCAACATTCAGGCTTCAACATGGTTTCTACTTGCTGGTTTTCGCTGTGTCGTCCATTTTTATAGATAACAGTGTCGTACAGTGTCAGAAACCTCATATACAAGCCTGTTTGAGATGAATGAACAATTCAGCAACGTTTGTGTGAGACTAGCGTGCAGCTAGCATGATGCTAATCAGTGAGATATAAGCTTCCACTGCTTGTTAGCTACATTATCCTCGTTTCTTCAGTGTAAAACTAAACCACACGTCGGATACCTAGCCCTACCAAGTCTTCAACAATCAACTGGTTTGTGGTAAGTGGAAAATTAAAAAGTTTTCTGCTGAACAGTCCTTAAAGGTGCGTAAGATTTAGCATATTGCAACCAGTTGAATCCCCCTCCCTCACACCTCCCTTTCCAAGCGTCCCAGATAGCGAGCATATATCAGCACCCAACTGGCCACTGCTGGTCCGCCCTCGGACCACCCAGACCACTGACCTGCAGACAATGTCTAACTAGTTTTTAAATCTCCTCGAACAGATTTTAAATGCCTTGCACTAAATAACAAGTATGATCCTAAATATGTCAAATTTGTACAACACAAAATGGTTAGCCAGCACTACACCATCCAACTGGTGCTGTAGCACCATCAATTTTAAGCTGCCGCTTTAACATAAAAACGTGAAAGGCAGTGTCTAGAGCAGTGGTCATCAACACTGGTCCTGGGGATTTACCTTCCTGTGAAATCCAGTTCGAACCACAATCTGCCCCGTCTGCTCCAGCAGATCAACTTCTTCAGAAGGTCTTAACTGGTTGAATCAGATCCAGATGTTAGGTGATGGGAAGGGCAGCATGTTAGATCAAGGAACTAAACTCTGCAGTAAAATAGATTTCCAGGACGAGGGATGGTGACCACCGTTCTACAGCCAGTGTTTGGTTTGTAAGTCCTGGGCCACTCTAGAAATACCTTAGCTAACAAAAATGTGACGATTCGTAGTTACAGCTGATTATACACTAATGAAAACATGGTTTGTATACTATATTCCATTTCTAATATATCCCCCTAAATCGTACACCCTGCACCTTTAAAATAAATCCACCCTGCAGCACAGACCAGCATGAATTCCACATTAAACTAGCTTACGGTGGTACAGTGATGATCTGGTGCTGTTTTAGCTGGTTGACCAGCATACTGGCTTCCAAAACACAACATATGCTGGTTTTGCTGGTGACCAGCCATGTTATGCTGGTTTTTCTAGCAGGGCAGGCAAATACACTACACTTTCTTCTTGGATATTCCTTCTTTCTGTATTTACTTCTAAGCTCTTGTTATTATTTTTTTCAATCTGTCTTTGCTATTTCTTTCTGTAGAACAGGAAATCTCACAGACATTAATGGATTTAATGAAATTGTAATATGTTCATTTATGCAGTTACCAGACATAAAAGATCCTGTGTATGGTGTTTTATTGTTGTACTGAAGTGGGGCAGTAGGGAGCTACACAATAGCATAAAATTAATGGAGCAAAAGAAAAGACTGCTAGAACTGGCCTGCTAGGGCTTTTACAGTACAACACCTAATAAAACATGAGTGGAACACAGGTATATGAGACCAAACCACTTGATTAGATATAGTGTAGCATTTGTTTAAGTCAAATGAACATGGAAAATAAGGAATGGAAGACGAGCATTTTTCCACAAGCTTAATTTACTTTTTTTTATTGTGTCTTGTCATTGAACACAGAGGTCAGAAAGATCCAGCCACTGCCCAGCAGTGCCTCAGATGAGTGTCCAAACTTGGCAGAGCAGGGAAAGGATGATGGCATGTAGGATAGTTGGTTTTGTTCCTGTTCCTGAGGAAGCTGACCTCTCCTGTGTCCTCCTCAGCCATGCTGAGTAGCGGCTGGTGCGAGTGTACAGGCCGGGTTTCTTCGGCAGGCCACAGTCCTCTCCATGACTCGTCACGCCATAGATGTAGAATCTACCCGTGACCTCACTGTAACATGACAGGGGACCTCCACTGTCCCCCTTCAATGCAAAGACATACAGACACAACAGGGCAACACTTCAGTTCGGCACTCTTATAGCTGCTACTACTACTACTGCTATTATTATTATTATTATTATTATTATTATTACAGTAGTTACTAAATAATAAGCCTTCAAAGACTGGTTCAGCAAATAACTAATTTCATTGTTTAGAAGTTTGCTTCTTTAGAATAGCACCTGTGCTACAAGGCTAATGTTGCTAACAAATACTGGAAGCTTATCTTTCTTTTTAGCATCATGCAAACTGCATGCAGAAATCATCACACAAGTAATCTCATATAATAGGCCCAATCCCATTTCACCCGTTGCCCCTGACACTTAGCCCTTAGCCCTCCGTTTTGCACTTTCACGTTAGGGGTAGGGTGTCCTGTTTGTTGAGATAGAGGGGTAGGGCGAAGTGTTAGGGCTACATGGTCCTCCAAACGGAGGGTTTTCAGAGTCACACTCCAGGAGGAGTGTTACGAGAAAAAAAGAAAAACCGACAAGATGGCTGCACAAGCGACCAAAAACCCTACAAATGTAAGTATTTTCTCAGTTAAAAATTAACCATTATTAACGATAACCATTGTGTTGTTTTAGTTTAGTGCAGTTTCAATGTATTATGGTCATTTTCTTCACAACAAACATTAAAAAATCACTAATAGTACCCTAATGTCTCAGTAGCTCACTAGCTAAATTACCCGTTCCACCTTAAACAGTCCAACAGTACTGACTCCTAAAGCACCAGAATGTAACTGCTGTTCCATTTAAGGTGGAACGGGAAAATTCGAGAAGCTGATTTCAGCTTCATATCACTGAAGAATTAGGTGTGGGAGCATCCCCCTCTTTGAAGGCATATGATGCCCTTAATTTAAAAGCCCAGTAGTAAGGTTGCTGAACTTTACCCTCCTCTGCTATCACTGCAGACTGGCAGGGTCGCCTACAGAGCGCCACTAGCAGCCTGTTAATGAAGTCATGTTCTTTTTTTTTTTGAGGGTCCTATTCTGTAGGAGAAGATTTCAACCACTACCCCTTGTAACTCAGTTCCAGTGGGCAAAGTGACACAAGGGGTAGAGGTAGAAATAAGAAATGGGATTGGGCCATAATAGACTTGCTAGGGTAATATCTGACCCTGTACGTTATACTGTTATTTACTAAAAAAACAGTGTATGTTGCTTAGCAAACGTATTGCTTGTTGCGAAACAAAAGTAGCAGACATCTTGAAGCCAGGATGCTGTAGTGGTTTTATTGTGGGTTGATTTAGCCATGAATGGTAATTTGTGGTTTGTGAACTTCTAGCTACTTTCTAGCTACAATAGCCTCATAGCTTCAGTGCAAAACAAAATAAGCAAAATGCAGAGACACCAAAAATATCTGATCAACAACGTTTGGGGTAGAGGACATTTACTTTTACACTACCATTTGAACATTTGGAATCACTTGTCAGGGTAATAGTTGTTATTAAAAAATAATGTGATTTAATTGTCATGAATCACATACCAAAACATAAGCCTGTGGTTCATTTACACGTTTAAAGTATTTTGGGAACAATAGTTATGACAAAAAAAAGCAAATATGGTTAAATAATGAACTGTAATAATTTAAATGTAATACATTCTTGTCGCAAAATTTATTACGAATAGCTGTTTGACCAGTGAGTTTTATTAATATTATCATTGTAAGTTTGTTCTCAGTGCTATACAGCTTTCTTACGTATTTTAGAATCATAAACAGCTCTGTTCATCATCACGAATTTCTTCATTTTTAAAGCTTCTTACAAATTATCTGAAAAGTAGTGAATATTAGCATCATATATTAGAATATTTTTATAATTAGAATAATTTTATACACATATCTGCAATGTAGTGTATGTATTTACTTTCATTAATCAGTGTATATTTGACAAACATTACCTGACATGTGTCAATACCCCCGCTTTCCCGTCCAGCACAGACCATGTTGTCACTGACATGGCCGCCATGCCAGTCTCGCTGGTTACACGTCTCAGTGTCAATGAGCTCCACCTCAGCCTCTCGCAGCGTGTCCACCAACTTCCCTAAAGATAAAACGCTCTGTCATCCTGCTCGCGGATGTTTGTGTCTTTAATGGTTATTTTTAGCCTCCATTATCTCCATAAACTGGAACAGATGCTGACATGTCTATATTTTCTAGTCTCACAGGTATTTCTGAGGGTCTTTTGCAGGAGAAAATCACCAAATGCATCATCATAGGAGACATCTATCACCTGCCTCTCAGGCAGTGGAAGATTAAATGATGAGATTTCTAGAAAAATTAAATATTCTTCGTAAAGCAGCTCTAACTGACGGGTACTTATTAGAGACTGTGTCTCAAGTTGAGTGAGGTTTATTAACCAAGTAGGGACTTCAGCTGGTCAGAAGTGCAGAAATGTAGACAAAAAATAATAAATCGTGTAATAATTCAAAAAACATGTAATAATTCAAACCTCATTTCCTGATAAAGTTGGGACAGTATGTAAATTGCTAATAAAACTATAAAGCAGTGATGAGTAAATTCTACTTGACCTGTATTTAAACAAAATTTTATATTTAATATTTTATCTGTAATGACTTGGTCATTCCAAATTTGATGCCTGATGCCTACACTTTCCATGGAAGTTGGGACGGGAGCATGTTTGCCACTGTGTTACGTCTCCTTTCCTTTTTAACAATACCTAACGATTGTTTGGGATTGAAGACAATTGTTCCAGTTTTGAAAGTGGAGTTTTTGTAGTTCTTCCATTATACAAGTCTTCAGCTGTGCAAATGTACGGGCCTTCATTGTTGTGTTTGGTGCTTCATAATGCAGCACGTTTTCAATGTGAAACATGAAATGGGTCTGTACTTTAGGCAGGCCGATCTAGAATCCCATCTGATTAAGTAGCCATGCTGTTGCAACACATGCAGAATGTGGCTTATGTTGAAATAAGCAATAAGCAATTAATAATTCTCCAGTTATCCTTTACATTGTGTTAAATTTCATGATGAACAGACCAACAGAAATGGTCTACTTGTTAAAAAAAACAGGTTACATTAACTTCCATTAGTAACTCCATAAGTTAAGAAGGTTTTTTCCCTGTCTTGTAAAGTTACCATTTTGGAAACATACATTGTGTCTTTTGTTAATGGTGCATGCCATGGGTACTAACACACTCCCATACCATGACAGACCCTGGCTTTTGAGCTTTACATTGATGATGATTTAGATAGTCCTTTATGTCTTTGGCCTGGAGAACACAATGTCCATTATTTCCATAAACAATCAGAATAGTTGACTGGTCAAACCACAATGTACATTTCCACTGTGCATCAGTCCACAGATGAGCTCAAGCCCAGAGAAGTCGGTGCCGTTTCTAAATATTGTTGACTTATGACTTCTGTTCTGCATAGTACAGTGTTAACTTGCGTTTGTGGATGCTGCAATGAATGGGCTTTATTTACATTGTTTTTTCAAAGTATTTTCAAGACAGTGTGGTCATATCAATCACAGTAGCATCCTGAATCCATTGGTGATGATGTGCACTGTAGAAGGTTAAATGGCTAAAATCTTTGCAAATTTTCATTGAGGAACAGTATACATCAACTGTTAAATTACTTGCTCAAGGATTTTTGGCTAAAATGGTGAGCCTTGACCCATCCTCGCTCATAAAGGACCAGGCCTTTCCCACATGCTCCTTTTATACCTACGTGTGATTACATCACTTGTTTAAAATGTTTTTTGAACATTTCACAATGGTCATAGCCTTAAATTGGCTCTCTCATTAATAGTTACTGATACTGTTACTGACAGTAGTAACTGGTTAATTCCTACAATTCATAGCAGTTGCTAAGTAATTCATAGTAGTTGCTGAATAAGTAGTTACTGGATAATTCACAGTAGTTTATGGATAAATAGTTACTGGACAACTCATAGTAGTTGCTGAATAAGCAGTTATGGGATAATTCATAGTAGTTACTGGATAATTCATAGGAGTCTCTGGATAATTCATAGTATTTACTGAATAAGTAGTCACTGGAAAATTCATAGTAGTTGCTGGGTAACTTATAGTATTAACTGGATAATTAATAGTTGCTGAATAAGTGGTTACTAGATAATTCATAGTAGTTGCTTAGTATTTCATAGTTGTTGCTAAATAATTCATAGTAGTTGCTGAATAAGTAGTTACTGGATAATTCATAGTACATAATAAGCCGTTAGATCAGTGACTAAGTATTAAGTCTCGGGGTCACAAGACTGTTCTCATATTTTAAACTTGATTCTGAGCGCAGTAAGCCTTGTGCAGAAGCGAACCTTGGAATACAGTGCTGCCCCAGCCGCTGATGAAACAGGAGCTGAAGCTGAGGCCCCTCTCCTCCATTTCATTATTGAGTATGCACACAGGCTGCACATGAGTGGTGAAGAACAGTGGGTAGTGGAGCTGCAGCAGGGCTATGTCATTCTCAAAACTTGTCTTGTCATAGTCTTCATGTTTAATAACTCTTTCCACAGAGCGTATCTGGACAGTCCTCCCATGCCTCGACAGAGAGTGAAGCCCTGCCACAACCTGCAGTGTGGAATAGCCTCTAAAGGACAACAGGACAGCAGGTAAAGGTGAGATAATCAGTCCACTCGTGTTGAGAAAAGCAGAAGGTCAACAATTGTAAAACAAGCAATAAATACATGACTGATAAATGCTAATTATAAAGGTTTCTCCAATCCATTAGCTCTGCATCTGTGAAACTTCTCGATTGCTCCATTATTTACTAGTCACGTGTGTATTTTGAATATCGCTTTCCAAAAAGAGCTTTTTTAACCCCTTAAAATTCCAGGCTTATAATACAAGGTGATTCAAAAAGATTCATCTGATTTCAAAATGATTTATTTCACTTATAAATCATTACAGAACCATGCAGTAAATTGTAAATGGTTTAATTGAGCATAAAGTTTATTATGTACAGTTCTCAGTATGGCCTCCTCCAGCTGTACGGACAACATCAACGCCATAGTCAAATTCATCCCATACTCGATTGAGCATGTTGGGTGTCACTGTACTCACTGTACTTCAATGCAATTTCGGAGATCATCCAATGTTGTGGAACCAACAACGAATGCTCTGAGCTGTTGGAGGTTCACTGCCAACGAAAATCACGTTGCACAGTTATGACAGATTCACTCTTCTTGAAGTGTAGAACGCAAAACGCTCCGGGGTTGCCATCTCTTCGCAGACTGAAGGGAGCCATCTTCTGGTGACAGCCAGAAACTCTGTGACCCCCTCTTTCAATTGGTATGTGATTGGTTCCTAGGCGCCTCACGGTTGTAAAAATATGACGTTTGAAATCAGATTGATCTTTTTGAATCACCCTGTATACTTATGCTTATTGTTCAGTAACTACAGAGATGCCAATGCAAACTAGCTGAGCTGTTCTTTGGTTAGAAGTGAGTAATAAAACTTTGCAAAACTTTGGCCATTTAGGAAATTAATGTGAGGTGTCTTTATTGTAACTGGAATATATTCTGCCCCCAATCAAGTAGACTATACAGCTCGACAGATAGCTAACAGGCCAACAGGCTCTGCCAGAAATAACCAGTAATTTTTTTTAGAGACTTAAAGTTTTGTGTCTTTACTGAAGACACTGTAAAACTACAAACAAACAAATTTAACACACTTCTAAAAGAAGCCAGCAGCTATTAGTTTCAGCGTTGGTCTGTGGTAATCAATTGTATGTTACAGAGGCAACAAACAGAGATTTAGTTGAAAAACTGGAGAATTCTTACGTTCCCTCTTGCTTGTCTTATTACCGTTTAAACCACAGTCACACTGAACTACCACAGGACTACACAAGATACCACAGCTCGATCTCTTGTTCTGTTGGCTCACGCTTCGAGGTACACAACTCTACAGAATTTAACGTTGCTATGATATAATGTCAGGATCGATCACAGCAGCTATTTGTAGATGTCAAGGTCATGATCTTCAAGTGTTCTCACAGAACATCTAATACAGTAAGCTATGAGCTGCTCACCTGCTCTTGTTGAGGCAGTGAGCTGCTGAGAGAATCCAGAGGTGGCTGAGTATGGAACCACCACATATATGGCTGGACATCCTCTGAATGCTGACCTGCCAAGGCCAGGCACCTTTCAGGGCAAAATGCCCGCCTACAACACGAGAGCCACTTGGTGGACCCACCTTAGGCCTCTCTCCACAGCCTAAAAAACACAGTGAACTTGAACAGAAATGTGCTGATATTTTGCCAAGAAGTCACCGTGCCTGGTGATATATCACATAACTGTCCACAGTGTGTCTTAGCAGCCGGGGTTTTATGACGAACTACCAAAATGATCATACCTGAACTTCCAGCAAACACTGAACTTGCAAGGAAGATGGTGTAGAGAGTTAGTTGAAGCATTGTGGAGGCACTCGGCTTAACAACACAACAATAAGGTGAAGATGGCAAAGGGAAGGTGACAGATTTGAAATGGTGTCAGTTTAATCTGTGATGTAATGAATGCATTGTGACATAAGCACCACCAGAATTCCATGTGACACACAAGAGTGAAAATAAAGAAAACATGCAGTTTTGTCATAATGTGGTGACCTGTTTATGCTCCGCCCACAAATAGCTACTGTGAGTTCGGAGAAGCTTTACACAGTCATCAGTCATTCAACCTAATGAGAACCTGTAGTGCATAACTCAGCTTTTGTTGAAATATGCAGATTTAGAGCGTGTTATTATTTGCTAAGGATGTTTATTTTGTATGTGTATAAGGTCACATTCACGTATAGATCATGGATAGTTCTGTTGACATAGTCCAGCTTGGTAGAGCATTTTAAACTGGAAACTAAACATTACTTAGTGACTCTAAACTCCATTCTAAGGTTAGTAGATTAATAGGATTATCTAATAAAAGAACGTGTTTGTGGGCAGAACATGGACAGGTCATTGTTTTGTGTTGTAATGTTTTAAGAGGAATTGCACATATTTTTCAAAATTTCTGCAAATGTAAACAAATTACATTTAGAGTCGTATGATGAATTTTCAGTGTGTGTTGCCTCAAAATACTACATCACATAATTGTTATTTTACACAAATTGATTACAAATATGTTTTTGTTTTGAGAGAAGGTTTTAGGTATATTTTTAGAATCCATTCATGGAGGGGTACATGTAGGGTGCTGTAAGGCAGTACAGTCCTTGAAGAAAACTTTTTATTATAAGTTTAGAATAATATTCATATATTTTTATATTTAGCTCTATTTTACCATCATCACATATAAACATTCACTGTTTGTTTTGGATAGTAGATAAAATGTCTATATGTGCGTTGTAGACATTGCAACCCCTGGTAAGTTTCTCTATAGTGCACCATTTTACATTCACTCTGAATCACTTTGTTTACATCTCAACAACTGAATTTTGGAAAACTGGTGAAATTTCCCTTTAAATAGTTTCAACTCCCCATATTTTTGTGTCTAGACTCAAAGCTTAAAATAACTTGACGTAGTCTGAAAAACAGCTACACTGGCTTGACTTGACACATATAGGTGCATCTCTTCTACAAGAATAAGTTGTATTACATTAACACAGTTATTGACAAAAGTAAATCAACTGAAAGACACAACTGTGTTGATATATATTAGTCATATGGAAATGATGTACACATTTGGATCAAGTCAATTCAGTGCTTAACCTTTTTCAGTGATAATCTCCTTTCTCATCATTCTATCTCTAGATTCAATAATAATAATAATAATAATAATAATAGCTCCAAGCTCCATAGCTCTATGTTGTTTGCAAACAGTAAGACAGTGTAAATAAAAGTGTCTGTCAAAAATTCAGCAAAAAAATAAAAAAGCAATTAATAAAAACAAACAGTAACATAAACTACAGAGTTCATTAACAAACTTTAAGTTGGCTTATTGCTAAAATGTTAAAGTGGTGGTAGACTGTTGATAGTTTCTAAAGTGTTGCTTTGATGTTGCAATGCGGTTGCTATGGTATCCAAGTTGGTAGTTAAAGTGTTGCTAAGTGGTTGCTATGGTGTTCCAGGTTGTTGCTAGGGGGTTGTTATACCATTAAACTGTTAACACTGTAACCTTAAATCCACTCATACAGTAAATCCACTGCCACCTTAAATACACTAGTACCTTAAATTTACTGACACCTTAAATCCCTTAAATTCAGTGATGTATTACATACACTGCTAACTTAAATACACTGCTACCTTACCTTGCTTAGAAAAGGACAAGCAACCTAATCGCGTATAGGTCCTACGATCCTGAAAAGTTTTGTGGTTCTAGCTCGAAAACTGCGGGACGAGAAACATTTTATTTCTGGAGTGTAGAATAATAATAACAAAAAGATTATGAAGAGCAGTAAGCTGGCTTTTCCAAGCCAACTTATTAAAATATAGGTTTCCCAGCACTTTATTGTTTCAGGGTTTTTTGTTTACCTTAGCTGATAATTTGTGGGTTGTTTTGGTGTATTTTCTTGCCCCAACAGTCGTTTCCACCAGCTCACAGGCCTGCTGTTAAACACACCCATTCATTCAGTTTGGGGGGCTGATCATGGGAGTGGGAGTGCTAAGCATGTCAGAGCATTCTTCTTCTGAGTTTGAATCCATTGGAGGTAGTTTTTAAAGGCTTTAAATAAACAACAAAAAAAGAGGAAGGTGCTGTTTCTTATGGTGAGATGGGTGTATTTGCTCACTGCCATCAATAATGCAGACCAACTGCACACACAGGCAGCAGCAGCAGCAGCAACATGGCGACCACCGCAGTTTCTTCAGGAGCTTTTCCACATCTGCAGTCCAGCGTCGCGCCTCTGGATCGCCTTTAACCTCGAACCCGGTAAGTGTGCTCGGAGATTTCACGTGTGTGTGTTTATATCTGCTGTGGAAAAGGCAGATTAGGGCTGTGAAAGAGTGAAAATGTCGAATAGCCGTACAGAGCAGCAGCAACAGCCACAAACGACCATTTGCTTACAGCGTTGAACGTGATGCAGTACAGTGGGGCTGCGCGTTCCTGGGCATCTTTTTTCACCTTAGATGGGAAATTACATTCTCAGATCTGTTAATTATGTCTTTTATTGCTCGATTGAAGAGCACTGGCATGTTTAAATATGGCCAATGTGATGTGATGTAATGGCATCACCCACCGTATCCAGCAGCATGTCAGTTCAGAATAAACACGATGTGATAATTGTGTAAAATGTTTTAGAGGACACGAAGCTGAAGTTGGCTTCTTTTTCCAATTTTCCCGTTCCACCTTAAATGGTGCAGCAGTTACATTCTGGCCGCCTGATTTAAGGTGGAACGGGGGAATTCGAATAAGAGGCCAACTTTAACCTCATCTAGACGACTCTGTACGGTTCTGTGTCAGGATTATCATTTTCATTTTAATATTGCTCAGTCAAGTGATTCGTGCAGCCACTCGACTAGAAAACATAGCCCTCGTGTCCTTTCTCCCCCTCCAAATGAAGGGGTGCTGATGTTTTGCTTATTCTGTGTTTTTTTAGCACATTTTATTGTCTTTTAAAAATGCAGACGTCGTTTGTAACGTAGCCTTCGGCTCTCATATTGATCGTGGGGTGGATGCAGGTTGTTCGGGTGTGGTGCGCAGGCAGGCAGCTTTTTTCCTTGGGAGAGAGAGCTAGAGAGAGAGAGAAAGAGAGAGGGAAAGGAAAAAATCGTCGTAGGTTTATGTTTCGGCGCGCGCGGTGCACTGGCTGCGCTTTTCCCTTGGCGCGTGCACGCTCCGGGGATTTTTTTATATTTTAATTATTACCATGTTGCCTTTTTTTCTAAAACGGGAGTGAACGGAACAGGAAAACAGCGAAACAGCCCACTGCAGTATTTCCATTTTTTTGGGCCCATGCAGACCTCTGGCTGTGCAGCTTTCCTGTCCGAGCGTGCTGTAACCGTGCACGAGGGGGGAAAGGGGCACGAGAGGGGTCCAGGCGTTTTGGAGCAGCTGATCAACTCATATATTTGTTTGATCGCACATCAGTGAAAGCGAGGTAAGCACGGATGGGCGCTGTGGCGGCGCAGACACTCGCTGTTTTATTGCATAAACCCAGTGCTCGGTGCGGTGTCCATGCAAGGAGAGCAGCTGTTAAAAAAAGATGGTTCTTTAGCAAATGCAGTGGTTCTATTTAGAACCATGACGTCTGTATAGAGACATTTCATGCTTAAATTGATCTTTGCATGGTGAAATGATTAAAGAATGTGTTGTATATGACTCTATAATAGAACCTTTTAAAAATGGTTCTAGGTAGCACCAAAAAGGATTCTTCTATTTGTTACAAGTGTGACATCATAGCAACAGAAGAACACTTTATGGTGCTTAACAGAACTGTATGCAACACATTCTTCATCCATTTCATCATGCCAAGAACCATTTAAGCATGAAAGGACTTTATCCAGAACTCATGATTCTCAATAGAACCATTGCCTTTGCTAAAGAACCCTTTGCTGCTCTTACATCACTAAAACAGCAGGTACAGTCTTGAAAAAAGATGGCTCATTTTCATGAGTGCACCTGCTGTTTTGGTGACGTAAGAGCAGCAATATTCGAATGACTAACAACAATAGAGCTGCCTGATTGAATGAAAGTGGTTTGCGTGTTTAGGTTAATGTATTACGTTAATGCTTTGACTCTGTGTGGCTACACGAAGCTGTTGTGAGGCGCACTTGTTTATGTAAAGCGTTTTTAAAGGCATATTGCATGTAAAAGTGATCGTGTCCCTGTCATGTGAGGTGCAGCGTCTGGCATGCTCACTCATGCAGAGTTGCCAACGTATCTGGCATCATGTCGTGCATTAAAGCACTAAAAATATGCTCTAGTACGAATTACATTTGCTGTTATTGCTTTGGATTGAGCTGCCTGTTGCAAAATGACCTTAATGGAGAGGGCCTTGAGCTGGGCTTCTTAAGGAGCTTGACAGATTTTTGTCTAGGCCTAAGTAGTTGGCCAGAAAAATGGAAAAAATGGAATAAACAGGGTCATGATTCTTAACAAACAGGGCCTAAGTCAGTGTTTTTGAGTGGTGCTGAACGGACAGCTCCCAGGAAGGGAATTTGCTGAACATATCTCAGTATATATGGACTCTTATCAGTACTGGGAGTAATATGTATAGGGAGTTATATTTAATGGGAGTTATACTGAGAATTACCCTGGGAGTTATAGGTACTAGGAAGTACATTGGGAATTATACTGGGAGACATATGTACCAGGAGTTAAAATGACTTGGAGTTATTTTTTCTGAATTATGTTGAAAGTTATATGTAATGAAAATTATACTTGGAGTACATTGGTAGTTATATGCATGGAGTTACATTAGTAATTACTGGGAATTAAATGTACTGGGATTTATACTAGCAATTATATGGTGAGTTACATGTTACACTAAGCCTAACTTGTTGAGATATTGGGAATTGTATGTGCTGGGTGTTGTACTGAATTATGTGGCGAAAATGTACTGGAAGTTATACAGTATAGTTTAAGATGTTAGGATTGGCTTTTTCATCAGTTGGACAAACCAAAATGGTTCCTGAGGAACTGATTCTGTTTAGCTAGTACCGATTGCCCTCCACCCAGCAGTATGGTGTTAGGTCATCACCCAGGGTCACATTAGGAAAGGTCAGAAGTCGCATATTAGTGGAGATGGGTTGGTTAGGATTCAGGTTATGTAAGCTCAGTTTGAGTCCTTGATCAGGAAAAGGTTAAATGAGGATTGTTGGACTGTATAGTTACAGCTGGTATTTTTTTTACCTGTATGTTGTTTTTTCCTTGTTTAATTTGCAAATGAATCATTTCCAGTAAACAAGTGCTGTATTTTCCTGTAGTTCAGGAAAACGTAGCGCCTTGTTTGTGATCATGCTTGTGATTGTATTGTGAGGGTAAGGAAGGCGTTTTAACCAATACTGTTCTGTAAATTTGCATGAGAGGCAAATTTTGTTGACCAAATGTGGTTCAAATGTTTTTAATACTTAGAAAAGAGAGGTCGAGGGTGATATTCTCTTCAGTGACCTTGCATTTATATGGTAGGTCTAGAAGCACAACATAAATATAAACTTTTGTATGATAAACATACATTGTTAAAAATAAAGGTGCTGAAAAGGGTTCTTTGAAGCAATGCCATAGACAAACCACTTTTGGTTCCCTAGAGAGTGCATGGTTCTGTAAGGAACCATTTGTGTAAATGCATCAATGTGGGGATTTTAATGAGCATTACGTTTATGAAATACATAAACTAGGACTAATTCCACATTACAGAGAAATATAATAGTTCTGCAGTAAAATGAATAAAATACAGATACTGTAGTGCACTAACCCAGTATTGCCTAAATATTCTAATCTGTAAATCTGTATAGGACATCTATATGTATTCATTGTTGATTTTTATAAAGCAAATGACTGTCAGTATCGATGTAATTTGGATATCACTGTGCTTCCCTGCATTGTGCCTTTTTAAAGTTTAAACAACCTCCACATAATTATAAGGCTGTAGTTATTAGAAGTTTCCCTAGAACTGTATGTTCAGGCCGAAAACCATTGGATAACCTTCATTTGTAACAGTTTAGAGTACTGTACTGTTATTCTAATGGCATTCAAACTGTAACATCATTAGAAACAGCTTTGTTTTGGTGCTCAGTGAGTGGTGGTTGTGGATGTTGATGGAATGAAGCTCATGTGCTCATGATTGGTGTGCAGTAATGTCAGGGTTGGCCTGCTTGTTTAAGCGTCTGGCTTGTAAGTGCCTGTCAAATGCTGGCTGATTTATGAATCAGCAGGAAATGCAGCACACACAGGATTGTGTGGATAGCGTGGTTTACCATCCTCTCCTTCCTCTCCGCCCCCCACCCCTCAGTACTCTGCACACTGCTTCAGTGACAAAAGGCGTGTCCCCTCGTCATCTCACCAGCCTTTTATTACTGTTTATTAGCACAGAAGCACATACTCCAGCATCCTGTGCTTTGGTCTTTGTCTGCTACACTAATTGCATTGGATTTACTTGATTCAAATGCATACATTGTTTCCACAAATAAAGTATGTAAAGTAAATAATGTGTTGATATACACCATTATTTCCAAAAATAAGCCGAAAGACAACAGTATGTAGATGTGATATTAAGTCAGTTCAGTGCACTATTACTATTCAGTGTAAATTCTCACAGACCTTTAGTGAAAACTGATGTTTTATTTCTGCAGAGGAGACGTAAACTGGATCTGTCAATGAGCCGTGTATCAGAACGTAGCTTAATGTTCATGGGAGCAGTCGTTTCCACCTGCAGGCCCTCATACCCATGGCTATTTTTCATCTCCCATATAAATGTGTGAGTCACACAGGATCTAGTGCTGGGTCCTTTTTAACTCGCTCTAAATTTAGCAACAATGTGTTGTTGGAACTGTAAGCTGATATTTTTAGTTTTGTGGAGGCTTGTGAGTGTGTATGTGTGAGTGTTTGATGTCTACCCTTAAAACAATTTTTTGTCTGGTCCTGCTCAGTTGTCCCTTCGTATCAGCTGTATCACTGTGTCTTACCTTGTTGCTGAATGATTCTTCACTAAACCTTCTACCTTCTTAACGTCATATTGTGCCTGTTCAGTATGCAACTTAATGGTTGCGGTGTCCAGAACTAGAATCAGTGTAATAATAATAATAGAAGAATAAAAAATTATGGCCAAAAAAAGGAAAAGATGGGACAACAGCATAGTGTTAAAGTCGAACATATAACAAATGATTTGAATGAAAAAGAGTGATTAAAAGACTGGAAGGACTCCACAGTTTGTACAAGTAATATAACAAGATAAGACTAATGTTAGACAAGCGATTAATAATCACAGTTCATCCCGAGTATCAAGAGGAAATAGAACACTCAAGAACTTCTCCATTACAGGTTTGATACTGCTTGAAAACACAACATCCCTCTCGATATGCAGAATACAGCAAAACCTAAAGTCCCTGATAGCACAACAAAGCCATCTGTAGCCAAAGTTTCTGAAATGAGAAAAACAATCACAAACAACAGTGCCGAAGTGCAAAGCTGGATTTTATTCTCTTTATGTAAACTTATAGTATAGTTTTGTGTTTAGTACATTTATTCAAAAACACAAGATCGCAATTAGGAAAATGGCAATTTCTTTTGGTTTTTGGTTTCAGCCCGGCACATCCTAAATTTCAGTTTTGGTTTTGGCTAGGATTTTTAATTTCAGGATATCTCTACTGTAATCAATCAATCAATTAGTTGATCAACCTTTATTTTCACTGGGAAATACATTGAGGGTGGCCCTCATTTTTAATGTAGGCAAGCATTTACATTAAAAGAATTGAAAAGAAATGAACATGGAATTTAATCAGGTTAAACTAAAATGAACCAAACTACATAAACAAATTACCAGACAAGATAAATGGCAAAAGAATAATTATAATTTGATTAAAATATTGTAAATATTGAAAGTTGACCCCAAATAAATTTTACATCGTACAAATGTTTATTTCATGTTTATATAGTTGTGTGTCCTTTTGGGTATTTTAGTCAGTGATTAGTAGGTGTACAAAAGCATGTGCCCAATTGAAAGATCAGCACAAGGTGCCTAATAAAGGGCTAACATGATGCCACAAAAGATGGACTCACTGCATTGTCTTACTGTTGCGTATTATTTTACTTAGCTACTACTGAACACAAGTGCCTTAGCGTCCCACGTATGTGACTGAGAGGTCTGCTGTACTTGGAAAAGAAATTTCTCTGTTATCAATATTACCCCGACAAGCTAAAGCGTTTCTGCATCATTCACTGAGCAGAAAATAATTTACATTGTGTAAAAAACAACAACTGCCTTTTATTTGGTGCTAAACTGTTTCTCTAGCATTAGCATAACTACTGATTTAGCCCACAGTGGCTAAAAGATTTCCCTTTTAAATGACCATAGCTGTAGTTAAATGGCAAAATATAAAATAATGTTTATAATGGACTCTGCCTGCTATAAAATCTTCCTTTGTGCTACTGAATTAGTTCAGTAAAAGTAAATGCACAGTCCTGTCCATCTGTTTGATGGTGAACCATATGCATCAACTTTTGACAGCGTAAACTATTTTTATTACACCAGCAGTGACTGCTCTGGCGCTTTTCAAATTGCTTCAGCATCTGCCCATTGACTTCTGTTATAAGTGTTGAGTCATTGTGTTCAGTCATTGAATTTTCTGTTTATTTCAAACATTTCGGTTCATTTTCGTACTTGTTGTCTGTGGTAATTGATCGTATGCTACAGATGCAACAGATAGGGATTAGGCTGAACAAAGCTGGAGTGTTCCTTTAAGTGTCTGTTCTGCATACCTGTTCATAATCTGTTTAGTTTTGCTGACTTCACTGACCTGGCATTTTTCCGCTTGTCCTGTCACAGTGCTGGCTGCCCTGGATGGTATATAACTAAAGAAGCAGTTGCTGCAGGATGAAAACATGGCTGCACCCCTGCTCGCACCGCCAGGACCTGACAGCTTCAAATACTTTACCCGGGAATCTCTGGCTAACATCGAGAAGCGCGTCACTGAGGAGAAAGCCAAGCCTCCGCCTAAGCCAGACAGCAGTTACCGCGACGATGACGACGAGAACAAGCCCAAGCCCAACAGTGACCTGGAGGCGGGCAAAAACCTGCCGTTCATCTACGGCGACATACCTTCGGGAATGGTGGCAACACCACTGGAGGACCTCGATCCTTTCTACGTGAATAAGAAAGTGAGTGGTCATGCTCTTGAGCTGTTTTGTTTGCCTTGCCATCCTGTAGGATTTTGAATTTCAGCAGCCAGCAGTGGACTATTCAGAGCTGGTGGATTGTTCCCTCTTCAGTTTCATCACCTGAAAGTTTTTGTTTGATGGTAGTTGAATATATGCTGTAGTGGAGGATCCACAAAGTTCTTAACTGATTTTCCTGTAACAAAATTCTTCTGATTTGTTATTGTAATCCTACACTTTTAAAAAGATGGTTCTTCAAGGGTTCTTTAGGCAAGAAAATGGTTCTATGTGGAACCATGAACACTCAAAGAACCATTTTCATATCTAAAGGAGTCTTTGCATGGTGAAATTGTTCTTCAGATTGATGGAGAACCTTTTTAAAAATGGTTCTATATAGCACCAAAAAGTGTTCTGCTATTGTTACCATGTAACAATAACAGAAACCTTTTTGGTGTTACATAGATCCCCTTTCAAAGAGGTTCTATCTAGAACCATATACATCACATTCTCCATCAATCTGAAGAATTATTTCATCATGCAGAGAACCATTTAAGCATGCAAATGGTTCTTTGAGTGTTCATGGTTCTATATAAAACCATTTTCTTTACTAAAGAACTTGAAGAACCATCTTTTTAAGAGTATATGTAATGATTTACATCCTAAATCAGTGGAGCTTTTAAAGTTGGTCAGATGACTTGTGTGAAGACGAGTACATATCCTCTATGAAGGACACACATTTTAGTGTAACTGAATTTTGAGAAAAAAATAAAACATACACAGAAAAAGGCCACATTTAGGAATTTATGTTTTATTTTTTCTAAATATGTTACAGTCAGCAAAGAATTAGAAACTGTGTACTAAAAATTTTAGAAAATTACATTTTTGTGGACTTATTTTCAAAGAATCAGCAAAGTGGAATTTGACCAGGGATGTTCAAACTTTTTCATAGGACCTGCACAGGTCTGAAATTTAGGTATTATCAGGATCTATAGACATTTATCTTTTAAAAAAGATGATTGTACATATTTTTTGTGATAAATGAGAGGTGAGCATTTGCTTATTTGTTTGCTGACATTTCTAAAACATAGACCATGTAAAATTCTGTAATGACGCTGTTGATTTGTTTCTCTTTTTTGTGCTAATTTTTTAACACTAACCAAAAGGATGTTTCTACACTAGAATTTCACAGCAAACCCAGATGATGTTTGGAAGGTTTGAGAAGGTTTGGAAGCTCTGTACTGTAGTGTTGTTTTTCTACACTATGCCAAGCGATCTGGCTACAGGCTCAACAGTTTGTGGTTGTGGTAGGGAAGGAGATAGTGGTAGTGGATGTAGCAGAGCCATTAGATTGTTCTCATTTTACAAATGCTCTGACGCTAATCACTAAAACAGTGTTAGAGTACTTTAGTCTAATTCATATTTATTTTCATTTGAGTATTGCTTTCCACTTAACATAATTACAATAGCACTGAGTGGTCTGGATTTGAGTTTTTATAAATTACGGTTATACAGGATGTAAAATTAGAAATAATAAATACACATACACAGACTTTAGATGTTGGTTGAGCAACAGCATCTGCATATCTTAATTCTGTTGAGAAGTGAGAGTCTTTATACGCTTCCAGTATCCATTTATTGTCTGGCTTGGGTCTGAGCAATAAGATGTGATGTTTGAATTATATACCATGATTGTTATCATTACAGACAACATTACAACATTTACACGTATATCTATTCATTTAGTCATATAAATTGGTCAAACAGCGGAAGCTGTCGTAAAAAAAAGAGCAAACAACACCAACAAATGTGAAATGTAGAAACACACTGCAGTGCATTAAATGCACAAACAGGACAGACTATTCTCTCTTTTCATAACAGTTGGTCAGAAAAACATGCAAAAAATAAGCTCAGTAAAGTGTGTGCATATTGTGACGTAATTTATCGTGATACAATAAATTGTTGTTGTATTGTCCACCCTCATTTAGAAAAAGAGAAAAAAAGTTTTAAAATCTGATTTAGTCTTTTGATAACCCAAGACTGTGCACATAACCATGCATAGCTTGTTCTGTTGGTGGTCATTTTAAGTGGACAGTCTGTAGGAGGCTGGCTATACGGTTTTGGGGGGCTTCCATTGTGTGCTGTTGTCTCTGAGGCTTTGGGGAAGAAGCTCAGAAACTGTTGAAGCCGTGTTGTTCCAGCTGACAGACTTTTCTAATTGTTCCAGCGGTAATCCGTCAGAAAAGCACTGAGTGAAGGCGAAGAGTAACGCATCAGTGCCTTTTAGAGGAGCAGAGCAGCGTTACAGACCTGTTATTATTGTGGCTCTCACTATTGATTCTGTTAGCATCTGCTGATTATTTCGGTGATTAATCAAGTAATCAGAGGCCACGGAGTGATAAAGGCCACACAGTAAATATGGACTTTTAACAAAACATACACAGTATAAAATACTCTGCTGCAAGATGATAAACAAGAAGGCCTTTAAAATACTTTAAAAAAAAGTCATAGTATGCTTTTCAGAGTACATTTTGAGTATCGTCATTACTTTTAAGAATACTAAACAACTGCATGATTCGTTACAAATACAGCATAAATAATCCTGTTTAACTGGATTTACTATAGTGCAGTATGTAAAACTCACTATACGAAAGTTTGGACGCATCTGGTCAAATTTTTGTTGATTTTATAAGTTAAAAAAGTTAACACATCCACTACAAAATGTGGCTTGTGCAAAAGAAATGTTTTTATTTTTCCAATATGTTAAACTCAAATAAATAGAAATTGTGTAAAAATTGTGTGTTATCACTAGAGGATGTGTTAACTGTGTTTCACTTAGAAAATCAAAAAACATGCATTATCATTGTGCAAATGACCAATTATTTACTGCAGATTCATTGGAAAGGGATATTTTAAGTGATTATTTCTTTAAACTGTGTTATCAGTTTAGTTTAATAATAACAGTCCTAGTCACTATAACAATCATGCTATGACCTTGTCTGCTTTGACCATTATTGTTTGAATTGAATATAACCTGGATTAAACAATAAGAGAATTACATTAGATACGGTTTGTTGAGCTGAGCTCTTCACCACTAATATTTTTAGTAGTGCACTGTAGTAAAATCTCTAATGGTGTTGTGTTTATGGTTTAGCTCCTCTGGATTCATATATAGCTCTAATGACTGGCCGCGTTCTCGGGGGTGGATTGTTGTTGTTTCGAGGTGGATGCCGCTGTCCTTTCTCGCTGTGCTTAAGAGGGCTGTGGCTTGGTGCTAAGTGCACCAGTGAGGCCACACTATATTTGCCTCGCTGGCCTGGGTTAAATAATGCATCCGCTTGTGTGTTTGTGTGTGTGTTAATGCTTGTTAATGTGTGCCTGTGCTCCTCTCTGCATTCCCCTCTCTTTCTCCTGTGCTCCCTCCCTCTCTCGCTCCCTCCCTCTCCTTCACACTCTCTCCGTTCTCCACCTCTCCCTCTCTCTCTCGCTCTCAGGCCATGTGCGCTGCCTGCGTGTTACATAACTGCTCTGCTCAGTGCAGAAGAAGGAGATTACCGTCTCCCAGTGAAACCCTCTGTAGAGAGAAAGCGCAGGCGAAAAAGCTCTGGTGGACGTGTGCTGCGAGCTGCCATGTTTGGCAACTTCGCTGGAACGGCCTCCATTAGCATTAGAGAACAGAGCACAGTGATTCAGTAAAAAAAAAGGCCATTTCAGCTAAATTCACTCGTTTAAAATATATTATTTACAGGCAATGTGACAGCGTTTCATTGTTAACGTGGTAATTTTTGTTATTGTGATGAACAGTATGCCCTTCTGTGGATATCATCTGCACTAAAAGAACACGGACCGACTGCATGTTTCATTAAAAAAAAGCATAATTAGTCCTGTTTAATTGGACTTTCATACTGCAGTACAGTATGAAATGCTGAATAAATTTTGAATGCAGTTTTTATTTGGGGCGCTAGTTCTGCATTCTGTCCATGTGTCGAAATATCCTGTATCATGAAATATATAAGTGTCGTCATATGATGTTTTTGTCATAACAAGACAGTCATACATCACCAAAAATCAAGGAAAGCATGATCTATAAGAGGTATATTACCTGTATAGATGCTCAAAAACTGAGGTACTCATAGCTAAGGGTGGGCGATATGATGACGTTATTGCTGTCATGATAAAAGTCACAATTATGGCCCATGAAAATTTTGTGAATGATACCGATACCAAGCCAATGATCAATTATTATTGATATATCAATATAGTTTTCTATTTTTTTTTTCAGATTTTAGCTTTAGGTACTGACAGATATGATTACCAGTTCTCAATTGTCACACTTCTTCAACTTAAAATTTTATTTAATTCTATTGAAAATTATTTAATTTAATATTTAATGAACAGCAGAAACGCACAGTATTAATACAAAAGTTGTCGCTCACGGGGGCGGAGCTACACAGCATACTTTGCAGTTTTGGTTTCTGTCTATCACCTCCTACTGTTCTTTTGTTTCATTAGTTCTCTTCATAAAAAGTTTTTTAGTGTGTTATGCTTTTTTCATGCTCAAATATTGATGATAAACATCTTACGTGATATCACATCATGATATTAACCCAAAAGAGAAGGAATTGGGGGATAGGGCCAGTTATATGTATCCATATAGAATAAGTGTTTGGTTTATTTCTAAATGCATTGTGAATCTTGTCCATGTTGACTTCTTTCCCTTCTACACTCATATTGTCTGTGTAATAAGGAGGAAGGAAGCAGCATCCTGGCATTGATTATCACTTATCATCTGATATGTTACTGTAGTTGTAGTAGCAGTCAGTAGTAGAAGTCTTTCATTGTCTTCTAGTTTCCACACACTGAGATTTGTTTGCAGCAGTGAAATGTGACTCCCTGCTTTCAGGACTGTTGTATTTTTTTAGAGAAAAGTCCAGCAGAGGAATTGTGGCCATCAGCTTTTGTAACCTTTTAGCCACAGGCCAGGGCCATTACACTGTCAGGAGCAA